CAGGGCTCTTTTCAATTAAGCCCCCATGGGTAACCTTACAAGTGAGAGGCAAACCTATTAATTTCCTGGTGAGCACTTGGGCAGTTTATTCAGTCTTGACAGAGCCAATGGGACCCCTAGGAAGATATCAGTCCAGGGAGCCACCAGACAAACTGTTTTCCTTGGACATCAAGAAGGACTGTGGACCTAAGAAGGAACATGAACTGGAGGAACGCAGCTGTTAAACTGGACTGCAGTAGAACAACGGGCCTTTGAGGAGCTAAAGAAGGCTCTCATCTCAGCACCTGCCCTAGCCTTGCCAGATGTCACAAAGTGAGTGAGGTAAGGGGCATTGCCAAAGGGGTTCTCACTCAGACTCTAGGTCCCTGGAAGAAACCTGTTGCCTATCTGTCTAAGAGGCTAGACCCTGTGGCAGCAGGGTGGCCAGTGTGCCTCTGGGCAGTGGCCACCACAGCATTGCTGGTGAAGGAGGCAGATAAGCAGACTTTGGGCCAGGAGCTAGCTCTAACAACAGCCCATGCCGTTGAAGCCCTCCTTTGAGGTGCTCCAGAGATATGGATGTCAAACACCAGAATGACCCAGTGCCAAGCTCTTCTCCTGGACCAGGCCTGCATCCGGTTCCATAAGACACTGGCCATCAACCCTGCCAGCCTGCTTCCAGATGATCCAGAGGAACCCATTCATGACTGCATAGAGGTAACAGACGCAGTACTGACGGATGTCCTGCCGTCAGCACCAGATGAGGTACTGTACACTGATGGGAGCAGTTATGTTCAGGATGGGATTTGATATATAGGAACAGCAGTAGTCACCATGGACCACACCATTTGGGCACAGTTCCTGAACAGAGGAACATCAGTAAACTTTTGGCCTTAATCTAGGCCCTTTGATGGGGACACTGTGCCATCCACTGGGAAAGAGGGTCACCAACTCCAGCCAGAAAGGACATTATTGTAGCCTTATTTGAGGACATCTGACTTCCAAAGGCAGTTGCAATAGTGCACTGCAAAGGACATCAGAAAGGGGAAACAACTGAAGCCAGATGAAATAGAGCCACAGACCAAACTGCTAAGGAAGATGCCCCCAAATCAGTGGGGCCTTTACAAGTCTTAGTAACCCTGCCGGACCCCGACCTACACCAAACAAGAGGAGAAATTGGCTGAACAGAATCAAACCATCAAAGGACCAGATGGTTGGTGGGCCCTACCAGATGACAGACTGCTGGTTCCAGAGGCTCTAGGTCAGACATTGGTTGCCTGGTTATACCAGGTTACCCACTTAGGTGTCACCAAGACTTCTGAACTTCTGTGAGGCAGACACTATCAAGCTTAGATAAGATAATTAAAAGCATAGTCACTAGAAGTACAGGTAAATGCTAAGCAAGAATAGAGCCCCCCCCCTCCCCCCCCGAATTCGGGCCCCAGGGAAATTCCCTAGGAGAGCATTAGAAGGTGGGTTTCACAGAGATTAAGCCATCAGCATTAAGGTACAAGTACATGCTAGTTTTTATAGACACCTTCTCAGATTAGGTTGAAGCATAGGACAGAAACTGCCTCTATAGTAGTAAAAAAAATTACTCCAGGAAATTATACCTAGATTCAGGCTACCAGTAGTCATAGGATCAGATAACAATCCAGCCTTTGTAGCAAGGTATCTCAAAGTATAAGCTCAAGCCTTAGGACAGGCATGAGCAGTACTCTAAAAAGTTTAATTAAATTTGTCCTGGAAACCCATGAAAATTGGACCAACCCCCTGCCCTTCGCCCTCTTATGGGCCAGGTGTACCCTCTATCGGGAGAGGTCCCCCTCCCTTTTGAGGTCATGCATGGTAGACCTCCCTCCATTCTTCGTGGGGTCAGGGAGAAACTGAAAGCTAGAATTTATAATCATTTTCTTGCTCAAGTCCTTACAGGCTCTGCAGTTTACCCAGAGAGCCACCCATAAGCTTGTTCCAGATGCACTGCCAGTGCCCACCATGGACCCTGTACACCCCATCCAGCCCAGAGACTGTGTGGGTAAATAAGTTCACTGTCTAAGGACTCACCCCAACCTGAAAGGGACACTACACTGTTATCCTGAGCACACCCACGGCTGTTGAAGTAAACGACACCAGACCTGGCTACACCACTCCCAGCTCCTGCAAAGAAAATGACCAGGATCCTGGCAACCAGCAGCCTCGCCCATGAGATCCCTAGCCTGGGCTCCTCACAGGCCAGCAGGAGACTTGATGCCTGCAGGAGGGGAACTGGACTTCAGTGAGGACAGTACTAATGGGAACTGTGGTACTAGGGTTTTGGCAACTGTAAGAACATTTTTTTATTTTTTTATTTTTTGCTAGCCAGTGAGAAAGTCCAGGGCTAAGTAAGACTAAATGTGCTATGGGACTGGAGAACAAGAACAGAATGGAGAATTCCCTTAAAGGAATTAGGATGAGTCAATGATTTGACCATGCACATAAAACCAGTGGGGAATGAAATATAGTGGCAACCATACTTTGGTAAAAACTGCTGTCTGAATTTTAACCCTACTAAGTCTGGCTCCTGCCTGATTAAACACGAAATACTTACCTCAGCTTCCAGGTGGAGAGCTGGAGGCTAAGGCAATTTTCCCTTCCCTGGGACCAGGACCACAGGAGATTGATTCCCACTGACTCAGTAGCTTCAGGGATAGAAACTGCAGATAACCTTTAGAGACTAACCGCTGAGCTCTGCTTCTGTGTTATCGGCTATCGCAAGATAGGGCCGCATTCCAATGTCCAGCAGGATGTGACTGGGAACCAACCCTGTGGGCTGTCCCCAGTCTTTAGAATTTAGTCTTTAGGATTTAGAATTTAGAACAAAGGAAAATTCCTGTGGTTTGAATCTTTAAAAGGGACTGCCTACCCCTGACACGGCGCAGTCGTGTGAGACCACCTGCGTGTGGTGCTCTCACGGCTGTCCTGGCCAGTTATTTCAATAAATTCTTGCCTACTTTTTTTTTTTTAATTAATTAATCAGCCTCTGGTGGTCTTATTTTGAACCCAGGATTCAACCCCACAACAAGTGACTGTTTCAATTTTTTTTTTTTTTACTGTTGATCAGTCTATTTAGACTTTTCAGTTCTTCATGATTTAGTCTAAGAAAGTTATATTTCTAGTAACTTGTCTATTTCTTCTATGTTATTGAATTTGGTGGTATAAGGTCTTTCACACTATTTTTCAATAGTCCTTTGTATTTCTGTGGTGTCCAGTGTAACTTCTCTTTCATTTATGATTTTGGTGTGTTTTGTCTTGTTTTTCAGTCTCTCTCTCTCTCTCTCTCTCTCTCTCTCTCTCTCTCTCTCTCTTTCATCTGTCTATCTCTTTCATCTTTTCTCTGACCACAAAATGTGCAAGCCAGAGTCCATGCATGTCATCACTGCATCATCCTGTGTTTTTTTTTTGTGTTAGAGTAGTCTTGCCAGGTTTTAATTTTTAAATCTAAGAGACTGCTCCCAATATATAAGGTAGGGTCCCTAGGCCTGGCTAGCAATCAGGGCCACCTGTGGGGTGACTGGCGGGTGGGGCAATCAGGAGCCCCTGCTGATACCTGTCTTGGCTGGCAGCCTGGCACTGCTCGCTGGTGGGTCCTGCCCTCCCCCCTCCCATCTTCACCACTGGTTGCCTCCCTCTTGTGGGGCAGATGCTCAACACAGAAGCTGCTCCCAACCAGGGGCAGCTCCTGCATTGAGCATTTGCCCCCTGGTGGTCAGTGTGTGTCATAGCGACTGGTGGTTCTGCTGATCATTCTGCTGTTTGGTCTATTTGCATATTAGGGTTTTATCATATAGGATTACTCTAGCTCAGTTGGTTAGAGCATTGTCCTGATATGCCAAAATTGTGGTTTCAATTCTCAGTCAGGACACATACAAGACTCAATCAATGAATGCATAAGTAAGTGGAACAATAAATTATTCCTTCCCTCTCTCTTCCTCTCTCTGTCCCTCATTCCCTCTCTCTCAAATCAATAAATAAAAATAAAAGATATTAGTAACCTTTACTCAGCACCAGACTTGATTCATTAAGAATGTTGAATTAGCCGAAACCGGTTTGGCTCAATGGATAGAGCATCAGCTTGGGGACTGAAAGGTCCTGGGTTCGATTCCGGTCAAGGGCATATCCTTGGTTGCGGGCATATCCCCAGTAGAGGGTGTGCAAGAGGCAGCTGATCGATGACTCTCTCTCATCGATGTTTCTAACTCTCTATCTCTCTCCCTTCCTCTCTGTACAAAATCAATAATAAACATATATATATATATATATATATATATATATATATATATATATATATGAATGTTGAATTACTTTGTAGATAAATTCCAGTACCTTCCATTTTGCAACCACATTCCTGAACAATGTCCATGGATCTTTAAGTAAAAATATAAACATATTTTTTAAGCCATATCTATTCAATCAGACTTTTACTTCCTTCCTAGGACACTGTTCAACACATGGATTAAGCCTTACATAAAATCCAATGTAAAGATTGGTTAGGGAACACTTACATTAATTAGGCATATACCTACTGAATTTAATAAATTTCTTTTAGGGCATATAAAATTTTCTCTTTTGCGTGCCAGAATAAATAGGAATCAGGGGGAGACATTTCATGCCAGAAACAGAACAGGTGATCTCAACATTCTTGTCAAAGGTTTCACGAGCTGTTTTAGACGTGTTTCTCAATTTCCTCTAATTTTTCCTGATATTTTTAATGATCACTGGAAACTTCAGCCTAAACCAAAAGTTTGAAGTTCATTTAGTCACGTGCTTATTTGTTCTGAGGGAGTCTCTTCCTTTCTCTTTTAAAATCTAAGCCACGACTTCTTCTTTTGAGGCATGCTTTGTACAGGCTCTTAGCCTCATCGGAGTGTTTAGTTGCTTGTCTCATCTCTGACCTATTTGAATGAAGTCAAAGCTCTGAATAACATTTTCAGAGAAAAAGACATAGAAGAGGCTCCTGGGCCTTCTGCACACAGGGAGTCCACATGATGGTGCAAGAAGGGCAACCTCAAGGAAGGGGTGAGCATTCCTTTTCTTAATTCCAGAAGGAAAGAAGTATGTGAGGAGATGATGAGTTATCTGGGGAGAAGAGATAGACAACAAACAGACTGGAGGGATACAGATTGGACTGTCATAGCAACCATGAGAAGTTAGAAGGAAGACTAATTCCTCAGAGCCAGACGTACTTGTCAGAATGAGTAAACAAATATTAATACAGTGGTATGAGAAGGAGGAGATAAAAGTGATGGTTTGAGAAAGATGGGGAACCCATGGGTGAGCGTAATATTTAAGAAGAAAGAAAAAGGAAATAGAAAATATAGTTGATTGAGGGTGACTTTTTCCTCGATTGTTTAGGACGTCAGAGCAACTACCTGGTTATTTATTCTGAGAGAGTTTATTCAAATATTTTATTGAATTTATTGGGTTGACATTGGCTAATAAAATTATGTCAGTATCAGGTATACAATTCTACAATACATCATCTGCATATTACATTGTGTGTTTACCACCCCAAGTTAAGTCTCCTTCCATCACCACCTGAGGGAGTTTTTAAGCTCTCTTCTTCTTTTAAGTTTTTAATTAATATGAGATTCTTCACTTAGTTTCTTCATTGTCCTAAGCTTCTTAGGAACCCTGGCTTCTTGGCTCCATGGTAACTGTATTGTCTTGACTCTCTGACAGAAAGGCCAGTACGGTGGTCCCATGTGAAGATCTGGTCTGTTGCTGTGATTTCCCTAACATTCCTCAGCACTTGTTTCATCGTGAGTTGTGTGGGTAAGTTCTTCACTGAGGCGTCACTCTTGTGATTTCTTTCCCAGACATGTTCTATATGCCATTAATATCTCAGCTGTTACTTGGAGAACAATGCTTTTGTTGATTTTCTCTCCTCCTCTTCCTCTTTCTCCTCCCTCTCTCTTCTCCTCTTTCTTCATATTTTTATAATTGATTCTGCTTCACCTGGTTTTATTAGTATATTCTCAATCATGACCTCACATATGGATGGATGTTAATTGGTGTCTATTAAAACATCATTTTTTACAACAGGGTTCACTAGTGATCACATATTCTCTAGTCACAAAAGCCCACTATTGAGAATACAACTATAATTGCTTTTATAATCATAATATTTTAGAATAGCTTTGGTTTTCTTGTGAGAGTCCTTTCCAATATAAGGAGAATAAAGATTCAAATGAGATATTGAAGGTGTAAGGGAATGAAATATTTCTTTTTCTGTTCCATTTGTTCCAAATAAATATTTCAAGTACATTTTGTGCGAAATCTTGAACACTTTGTTCTCCCTAATCTACAGTCTTATTCTCCATTCTCTGCTAAGACAATTAAAAATAGTTATAAAGTAGTCTGGAAGGAAGTGAAAGTGATTTCATATGCCAGATGGGCCATGTTTAAAGTTACTTCAAGATTCAAATAAATGTCCTAGTCTTTACTAAAACAAAAATAAAAATAATTATAAAAAATTAGAATATGCTAAAAATGGTTTGGCTCAGTGGATAGAGAGTCAGCCTGCGGACTGAAAGGTCCTGGGTTTGATTCCAGTCAAAGGGCATGTACCTTGGTTACAGGCACATCCCCAATAGTGTGTGTGCAAGAGGCAGCTGATCGATGATTCTCTCTCATCGATGTTTCTAACTCTCTATTCCTCTCTCTTCCTCTCTGTAAAAAAATCAATAAAATATATATTTAAAAAAAGTTAGAATATACGCCGAAACTGGTTTGTCTCAGTGAATAGAGCATTGGTGTGCGGACTGAAAGGTCCCAGGTTTGATTTCAGTCAAGGGCATGTACATTGGTTGCGGGCACATCCCCGGTGGTGGGTGTGCAGGAGGTAGCCGGTCGATGTTTCTCTCTCATCAACGTTTCTAGCTCTTCCCCTCTGCCTTCCTCTCTGTGGAAAATCAATAAAATATATTTTTTTAAAAAGTTAGAATATGTTTCACTTTTTATGGTCAAGTGCAAAAGAGGATTTAAGAACAGTTATTTTATTAATCAAGAGGAAGCAGATATTCAGGACTTCAAGGCATAGGCTAATAGATTGATAGAAAAGTAGTGAGCTTTAGTAGTAGAAGGTTAACACAGAAATGAGAGAAGAATCAATTCAGGGCCCAAGAAAGAACAGTCTTTCTCTATGTGCTCACCTTTGAACATAAAAGGTAATGTTTATTTGAGACATTTAAAATGTTTCTAAATGTTTAAAGGCTCCCATTGGTTTCTACTTACCTCAAATTTTTATATGTAGCTACTAAGTCAGAACTTTTAGAAAATGTAAAAATAATCTGCATTCTTGCTTCATGGTTATGAAAATTAAGAAGAAGCAGACAGTTTTTGTATCAACGGATATCTCTGGATTATTTTTGAAAGTCTCTATTCTAGGTGTTTGTGATTAATATATGTAGAAAGAGAATCTCTGTCCTAGAATATAGAACTTAAATTTCAATGGGGAAAGAACAACAACAAACACATACAGGCTTATCGACAAACAAATGAATAGAGACAAACAGTAATTGAACATGGTCTTTCCTGAGTTTGAATAGAGAGAAAAAAATGGTACAGTTGGAGGGAAGCCTGCTTGGCACAGATTTATAGAGCATAAGGTTTTGTAGCAAAAGAATTGATGGATACTAACCCTCCTTCTTCCTCCACAGTGACTTATCATCTTACATCTGTAAAAACCGACAAAAGGCTGTCTGAATTACATACATATCATCCAAGTCTAACCTGCTTCAATGAAGGGACAAGGGAGACAGGTAAGGGGTTGCGATTCTTAACCAGACTTTCTCTTTTCTCAGAGAAAGAGAGGTTGGGGGTGAACTCAAGATAGGTTTATTCTATTTTTAAAAAATATATATTTTATTGATTTATTTCAGAGAGAAAAGGAGAGGGACAGAAAGCCAGAAACACTGATGAGAGAGAAACATCGACCAGCTGCCTCCTGCACACCCCCTACTGGGGATGTGCCTGCAACCAATATACATGCCCTTGACCAAACCTGGGGCCTTCCAACCTTTCAGTCTGCAAACCAGCTTCAACGGTTTATTTTATTTTTTAAAAATGGATATCCTACCATAGCTGGTTTGGCTCAGTGGATAGAGCGTCAGCCTATAGACTGAAATGTCTCGGTTCAATTCTGGTCAAAGGCACGTATCTCCGTTGCAGGCTCCTCCCTAGCCAGAGCCCTGGTTGGGGCACATGTAGGAGGTAACCAGTCCATGTGTGTCTCTCATCATTGATGCTTCTATTCCTTTCTCTTCCTCCCCCTTCTTCTCTGAAATCAATAAAAAACATTTTTAAAAAGGATATCTCTAAACTTACATGCTCGTCTCAGGCTTTAGATTTGCCCTACTCCAGGCTTCTTGAGATCAGTAAGTGTTGTTAACATACACCATGCAATTTGCTCAAGCCAAACCCTGGAAAGTCTTCATCAAAGTTTTGGTTTCAAATTATCCTTAACCTTATCATTTGGATACAATTTATTTTTGCTATCTAAGGTTCCTGGTTAATAACACCCTTCATAATTTCAAGTGTCAGCTTTATTACTGATCAATTTGGATGGTGAAACATGGCTCAGGAAGAAGCTGCCCTCACTTTAACATGTGGTGCTGGCACCTCATATGCGGACAATTAAGAGAGCCGAATTCAAAATCATCATCCGCCTTCCACTATGTCTAGAGAGAAATGCCAAAGAAAGGCAAAATGCATGTCCATAGTGGTCTTTATGGCCTTAGTCCTTCTAAGTGAAGAAATCCCAACAATTTGAGACACTCCTGTACCAACAACTGGAGTTTTAAAGACTGCCTCCTGGAAGCAGCAACGGGTACTTAGCCTTTGCTTTCAGAACGCTCTGAAACGAATGAGACAACCCCACATCCATCTGGCATAGGAAACTGCAAATTTACTCCCTGTTACAGCCTTTCAAGCTGTTTGATACAAATAAGTCAAGTGTCAGATAAGCTTATATAATAAAATTATCTAAAATGCTACCATGTCAGCAAATAAAAGTGCTCAGATTTTAAGAACACCCTTTCACATTATTATTACAATCAAAAGTTAAAAGTCTAAACAAAAGTTTTCCATATTCATTAAAGGTAAAAAAAATAATCAAGATCCACATGTACCTTTTCTATTTGTTTTCCACTTAGTCCCAGTCTGAGTGCTGGGACATGCAGAAGCAGGCTTGTCAAAACTCCAGAAATATATTGAAAAACTATGTATCCCCTTATTTAATCTAAAACCTAAATTTTTTTTATCATGCATTAGAAGCAAAAGCTATAATTTCTGGGACTTTGTAAATATCAACATTTAAAAATGAAACGGTTAAACCTGTTTATAAAATGTATCTTTGGTGTCTAGATACCATTATAAATTGCTACCCCCACTCCATCATGAATATTAAAAAAGAAGAAAAGCTTGTATTACTTAACAGTCTTATGTATTACATCATTCTTTCCCCCCTTGGACTAACATCCGCGCAGCACTTCCCTATCTGCCAACATATGTAAATAAGAACATGTCTAGTAGTTTTATTTCCTATGGAGCATTAAGCTTGTTATAAAATTCTTCTAGATGGATTTATAATGATTATCATCAGAATATACAACATATTCAAAACATTACATATTTATTATATACTTTTATAAATTATTACTGATAAAATAAAACTATTAGAAGCCCATCTATAATAATAAAAGCATAATATGCTAATTAGACCGGACATCCTTCTGGATGACCTTCCAGATGAAGCCCGGGTCCCGGTTGCCAGAAGGAAGCTGGCGCCAGCATCTGGGGGAAGGAAGACCTACTCTTGCATGAATTTTGTGCATCGGGCCTCTAGTCCATATTTATAAAAGCCTAAGCGACCAGAATGCCAGAATAACCGGAACAACCAGAGCACTGGTTGCTATGATGTACACTGACCACCAGGGGGCAGATTCAGGAGCTGATGCAGGAACTGCCCCCCTGGTAGTGTGCCCCATAGCCAACCTTCTGTACCGCCAACCTCCCCTGGACCCTCCCCGCGTCTGGCAGGACCTGGCTGGCAGCTGGCAGTTGGCAGGAAGGAAGGCCCTGGCCAGAAGCCAAAAGGAAGGCCCTGGTTGGCAGCTGAAAGGCTCCAATTGGCCCTGATCATGACCAGGCTTAGGATCCTCACCCATGCATGAGTTTCATGCACTGGGCCTCTAGTCTATATATATATAAAAGGCGAATATACAAAGTGTCCCTGCAGGAGTTAGACCAGGAGACAGGGAGTTCTATTATTCACTATGATGTGTGCTAACCACCAGAGGGCAGTGCAGAATGAAGGGAGGCTCCGGCCAACAGCCAGAAGGCCCCAATCAGCCCTGATTGCCGTCTAGGCCTAGGAACCCTGGGTCTTTTTCATGCACTGGGCCTCTAGTATTTTGAGAAGACAAATGGACTTAAAAAATTCAATCAGATATACTTACTATTGAATAACATTACTACTAGAGTGAGGTAGAATTCAACATTAACTCCTTCCTTATATTTCACTTTAGTGACACAATATGATAAATCTTACTTATCTAAATGAATTGATAAAATAGAAAGTGTTCTGTTAGAATGTCACCCAATTTTTTAGTTTTTTCATAAAAACATATAGTGATCTAGTATTAAAATTATTTGTAATAATCTGTTCACTGAGAATTTGATTAGGTAATTTTTCAATGTTGTTGAATATAAAGAATAATAAATAGAGTAATTTACAAAAGGTTTGTTTTCTTTTCAGTCAATAGTGATTCACTTTCTCAATTTCTGGGAATTACACCAAAAAGAAGAGTTTATAAGATTTATCAAATGACTATTAAGTATACTTCTTTTTGTAATTACAAAGCACAATTGGAAAAATAAAACATTATTAATGCCCATATATCTTTTTGACAAGTGCTTCCTTTCATCACAGCTTTAAATGGTTTTGTCAACCTTGGAACTGTAGATTTAGCATATTTAACATATGTAAAATGCTTCCATACATAACTAAGTCAATCCCCACCATCAAAACAGTCCACCTAATTAGACATATTGTTAATACATACTTTAATGAGTATTATAAAAAAACCAATATTTAATAATGAACCAAAGCATCATTAAGATAAATTTCCAAAAATGGAAATATATATATTATATATATTTAAAATAAATAGACTATATATATATAGTCTATTAATATAAAATAAATAGACTGTATAAATATAGTCTATTTATTTTATTCATATTGTAATATTATTAAAGGAAGAATAATTCTATAGATTGTTTCTCATCATTTAATATGTAAATTTTAATGCAATAATATTAAAAATGAATAACATAGAGCTATATATAATAACATGATTAAATATTAGCAAATGGAATAAAAAACTGAAGACAAGACCACCTATGTCATACTTTAAAGAAGATTTAAAATACAATAAATCAAAACAACTTATTATTTAAGTATACATATATGTGCTAAAATTGTATATAAACATGTATATAGACATATATGATCAAAACATGTCAGTGGATCTGTGTTGGTTAGCTAGAAATTTTAATCCTAGGATAATGGCAAATTGATGTTTCTAAGAAGAAAGGAGAGAGAAGTGATAATTTTTAAAACTCATAAGTTTGATGCTGTGTAAAAATTAGTAATAAGTAACATTTATGAGCAATTATTTCATGTTAAGCATCTTTTAAAGTGCTTTGCACATATTATGTGATTAAGTTTCTCCTTGGGTTTGACTGTTTTTATTTCTATTTAAAAGACAAAATAACTAAAGCTCAAGGAGGTTATGTAATTTTCCCAAAGGCATACATAATGAATGGCGGAGTCAGAATTTGAATAAGGCATAATTCTAATTTTCATAATCACCCTGTGAATAATTATCATTTCCATTTTAAAAACCTGAGACTTGTGGCTTGTCCAAGATTATTAAGTAAAATTGGCATTTGAGATACACCTTTATTAGTAATTTGTAACTCTGATAGAACTTGGTGCATGTAATGTATAAAGGATATACAGAATAGAAAAAATTTCTTATTTCCTGATGTTTTGGCAAAAAATCCAGATAAATTCTGCAGGTAAACCTTGGCAAATATTGAGGACTTAAGATTAGAAAATGTTTATTTAAAAGCAGTCCTATGGCCCCAAATTATATAATTTAGGGAACAATAAATACATGAATTAAGAAGCCCATCTCTAGAACACAACCTCAGATTTCACTTATATGGAATTTACTTCTTTAATCTTAATTGTTTCCTCTTGTGCTCACTCTTCTATTTCATTCAACATAGAAAAAGTCTGGGGATGTTGCCCAAGTACTTGGAAATCTTTTGGTTCCAGCTGCTACTTCATTTCTGATGAAGAACATTTTTGGTCTAAGAGTGAGCAGAACTGTGTTCAGATGGGGGCTCATTTAGTGGTACTCAACACAAAAGCAGAGCAGGTATTTTTGTTTTCTTTATTTTTCATTTTTATTTAAATAAAGTAAATTTAATTAAAAATAAAATTTATCATATTATCTGTTTTTAAGTGTACAGTTCAATAGTTAACTATATTCACATTGTTGTAAAAAAATCTCTACAATTCTAGGAATATATCCTAAGACACTTGAAACGCCAATCAGCACAAATATGTGCACTTCTATGTTCATAGCAGCACAACTTACAATAGCTAAGATCTGGAAACAGGCCAAGTGCCCATCAGTAGATGAGTGGATAAAAAAGCTGCGTAGATTTACAAGGTATATATAATATATACCATGGGATACTACGCAGCTGTTAAAAAGAAGGATCGCTTACCTTTTGAGACAACATGGAGGGGTCTGGAGAGTATTATGCTAAGTGAAATAAGCCATTCAGAGAAAGACAAATATCACACGATCTCACTTGTAAATGGAATCTAATGAACAAAATAAACTGACAAAATAGATCTAGGATAAGGAAGCATGCAACAGACTGATGATTCTCAGAGGGAAGGAGGTTGGAACAGGAGAGATTAACCAAATAATTGATATGCATATATGCATAACCCATTGACACAAACAATAGTGCCAGTGAAGGACTGGGGAAGAGGGAGAAGTGGAGTCAATGGAGAAAAAAAATGGGACATCTTATAACAATAAAGATAGATTAAAAAAAAACAAACTGAATTCAAAATAAATTGCACCTTATCTCAACCGGAAAACAATTCTGATAGATTAAAAAGGTGATACAGAAGCCCAGATGGAAATATGAGACTAACAGTTGTTGTTTTTTTTAAGAAATCATCACTACTGTTATAAATATAATAAGCATTCCTTTATGTTTAACTTTTAAAAGTAATTAATTATTAGAGAATTTCTACTTAGGAGAGAAGAGAAACAAATTTGAACTTTGATAACTCAAATGCAATTTCACTGATAAACTATGAGAAATAAGCTAGAATACTAGTACATCTGAACGTATACAATTTAAAAAATGGTTGAAAGTGCAAAAACTGACATACATTTTAAGAGAATTCTGCCACTTGGTGAAGAAAAAAAAAAGTGTTCTGTCTTCGATGGAAATCCATGGGTTATAACTCCCTCCTTCTTGTAATGATGTTGGTGTTTTGGGCCTGTTCTTTTGTCCAATGAGCTGTCTTGATATTGTTTCTCACAGCTGGCATCTTATTTTCTCTTTAGCGCTCTAAAGAACTCTCACTCTAGTCAATTTGGGAATTTCAGTCGTGGCTTCTTTTTCTTTATGCAGGATTTCCTTGTTCAGCAGCTGAATGAATCACTTTCTTATTTCCTGGGACTCTCAGATCCACAAGGGAATAACAGTTGGCAATGGATTGATCAGACACCTTACACGGAAAATGTCAGGTGAGTACAGAGTCACAATAATGAACAATGGGCTTTGTTTACATAAAAATGTAGGGACATTTTGTTGGCAGTGACTGTTAATGCTAATACTGGTAATTATATTGATGATAACAGATTCTAACAATTTACTAAGCTCTTAAATGCATGATTATTAAGTGCGTGTATTGTCACACTTAAACTCCATGAAAACTTTTTTATAACTCATTTTACTGATGAAAAGTTAATTAACTTTTTGAAGTCAATAAGTAGTAAGATGAGAAACAGGGCCTCAACTCCATATCTAACTCCAAAGATGGTTCTCTTATTCATTACAATTTGCTGCCTCTAAACTTGTGTAGACACTTCAATTACATTTTTCTTTAATTAATAAGACTTAAAATACATGTGTGAGAATTGTGTTCAATTGTGTTCAATTCTAGGAGGATCTATGCTAATAAAAAAGTAATATGCTAATTAGACCAGGTGGACCTGGAAGTCTTATCTGGAAGATGTTCAACTTCCTTCCAGACAAAGTCACGGTGATGGGGGCTGAGGCAAAGGTGGTTAGGGGTGATCAGGCTGGCAGGGGAATAAGCAGTTAGGGGAGATCAGGCTGGGAGGGGAGAGGTTAAGTGGTGATCAGGCTGGCAGGGAAGCAGTTAGGAGGCCATCAAGCTGGCAGGCAGAGGCAGTTACGGGCCATCAGGTGGGCAGGCCAACGAGTGGTTAGAAGCCAGTATTCCAGGATTGTGACAGGGATGTTCAATTGCCAGTTTAAATTGGCAGTCAGACATCCCTGGGGGTCCCAGATTGGAGAGGGTGCAGGCTGGCTGGGCTAAGGGACACTCCCCTCCTCTGTGCATGAATTTCATGCACTGGGCCTCTAGTAACTATATAATAATATTATTTATTCATGGCTTTGAAAAAAATCCAGAATTTAATTATACATTATTTCATGTGATGTTCACATAATTTTATCTGACTATGATTCCTATTTTTATAAGTGAAGAATCAAATACCTGAAAAAAATAAATTATTTGCTTAAGATCAAAATGAGTCAGGAGAAAGTCATGTCTCTTAATTTCAAAAACACCCATCAAAACCTTGTCACGCTTACTACAGATTGAATTCCTTGTAGGCAGGGTAACTTTTTATGGCCAGCCTCAAGCTCCATGAGAATATAGGTATTTAGGAAGGTGGTAAGAGTATACAAATTAAGGAGGCAACCTCTTTATTATGCTACTAAGATACAAATTGTTTAACAACCCCGATCAGGATAAGGGCTCTTTATAGAGAAAAAAAATGAAGATCATATTTCAAGGACAAGGTCAATTTTACTCTATTTCATAAAAATTTGCTGAGGGAATGTTAGAGGAACAATTATAAAAGTGTGTGTTTACACGTGGGGAGGGCAGTATAAGAAGAGGAGAGCAATCACTCGAGTGTTCTTTCACCCTAAACCCCATTCTCTTCAAACCCCAACTCCATATACTTTCTTTTTTTAAATTTCCTTATTTATTAAGGTATCACATATTTGTCTTAACCCCCATTCCAATTCTCCCCCCCCCACTCATGCCCCACCCACTATTGTCCTCAACCACTGGTTAGGCTCATATGTATGCACATAAGTCCTTTGGTTGATCTCTCTCTTTTATCCCCACCCTCCCTTTGAGGTCCAACAGTCTGACCCATGGCTCCTTATCTCTGGGTCTGTTTTTGTTCATCAGTCTATATTGTTCACCATTTCCCCTAGATGAATGAGATCATGTGCTACTGGAAATATAAGAATAAAAAATGAGACAAGAAATAATTGTTATGCTGAAAGGCATATGAATCAGTCTGTAGTGAGTTTCTTTCTGGGCCACCAGTTCTTTTGAGCCCCAATTTCAATGTCAAATAGTTCCTTATGTGTACATGTCAGCAATGATATTTCAGTTCTCTAGATACTTTCTAATTAATCACTGTGTATTCACTGACATGTTTTTATCTTTTTTTTCCCCCCTCTTTAGATTATGGCACCAGGGTGAGCCCAATTTTTCTGCAGAGGAATGTGCTTCAATAGTTTTCTGGAGTCCTAGAGGATGGGGCTGGAATGATGTTTTCTGTGATTCTAAAAGAAATTCAATATGTGAGATGAAGAAGGTTTATCTGAGTTGAACTTTATTCATGGTCACATTTAAAATGTAGACATATCTTAAAATGATAATTTCCTCTTGTAATTTATGTATAATTCTTTTCATAGAGGTTCATGGAAATATTCAGATGCCTTCCTTCCTTCAGTCATCCCTCTGATAGTTTCTTCTTTTCCAGTAATAATAGGGTGAACTCTTCCATTTTTAAAATTTTGTTATGCATTCTTTACTTTCTTCATACTTCTTTTCACACATATTCCTTGGGCAAGAGATGGTGCCATTTTGTCTAGCTAAAGACTCATAATGAGGTAACTATTAAAAATTAAGAAGGACTTGCCTCAAAACTCCATTGAGAAATTCTTCTGGTCAAAATAGTAACCGTGACTGCAATTACATGGGAGTCTGCCAAGAGTGAAAGGATCTGCTTCCGAGATGCCTCACTCACATGGCTGGCAACTTGGTACTGGTTTTTGTTAGAAGGCCTTAGCTTCTCACCATAGGGAACTCCCCATAGAGTTTCTTGAGTATCCTTACAATGTGATGCTTAGCTTTTCCAGAGGAAGAAATCCAAGAGAGCAGTGAAAGTAGCAATGTCTTTTATGATCTAGCTTCAGAAGTCAAACCCTTTAACTTCTGGCGCATTCCATTGGTCACATAGACCAAACTGATATACTTACAGAAGTGAATTACCCAAAGGCAGGACAAACTCAAGATGAAAATCACTGAGGGCTATCCTTTTTTTTTTTTTTTTTTTTAAACTTTAAAAAAAACATTTTTTATTGATTTCAGAGGAAGAGAGAAAGGGAGAGAGAGTAACAAACACCAATGATGAGAGAGAATCATTGATCAACTGTCTCCTGTACTCCCCCACTCAGGATCGAGCCAACAACTCAGGCATGTGCCTTGACCAGGAATCAAACTGCAACCTCTTGGTTCATAGGTCAATGCTCAACCACTGAGCCATACCAGCTGGGCACTGAGGGCTATGTTATAGGCTGGCTCCCATAGCAGAATTTAAAAGTATTATCTAAAAAAATATAAAATATGTGTACCAAGAAGGAAAATAATTTATTCTTCTACACTAAAATTATGAACGTGTGTTCACTAAAACACTACTGAATTTTAAAAAATAGAACTGAAATAAGATATTTCAAATATTTGTAACTAACACGGCATTAATACAAAGAACAGACAATGGTCACAAATGAATTAATACAAAAAATGGGCAAAATATTTAAAAAGCATTTCACAGAAGAGGAATACCTAATTCAGTAAACATATTTTATAGAGATGTAAAGATTTACTTTTAATGTGAAAATGGCAAGTAGGACTACAATAATGTGGAGAAAAAGTAGGTTTGTATAAAAAATATGATAATTAATAAATAATAATACAAGAATAAACTCTGTGTTTCCTGTACTCACAACTATAAATCTATGGCAAACATTTACACAATGCAATACTTGAGGCTATAAAAACAAAAAGAAGAAACTCTTACCCTTTGCAACAGCATGGGTGATTATTATGCAAAGCCAAATAAGCCAGTCAGAGAAAGACAAACATTACTTGATCTTACATGTATGTGGAATCTAATGAGCAAAATAAACTGATAAACTAAGTAGGACCAGAGGCATGGATTCATGGAACAGACTGACAGATCTTAGAGGGGTAGGGGGTTGGGACTGGAAGAGATGAACCAAAGAACATATATGCAAAGCCCATGGACACAGACAATAATGTGATGAAGGCCTGGAGTAGGGCAAGGGCTGGGAGGAGGAGGGCTATTGAGGGAGAATGGAGGACATTTGTAATAGTGTCAACATAGAAATTATTTGCCCATAGGGTTTATTTCTAAACTCTCAGTTTTGTTTCATTGGTATGTGTGTCTATTTTTCTGCCAATACCTTGCTGTTTTGATTATGTTGCTTTGTAGTATAATTTGAAGTCAGGGAGTGTGATACCTCCAGCTTTGTTCTCTTTTTCCCCTCAGGATTGTTTTGGCTATTTAGTCATCTTGGTGGTTCCATATAAATCTGATGATTTTTTTTTTTTGCTCTATTTCTTTAAAATATACCATTGGGATTTTTAGCTGAGGATTGCATTAAATCTGTATATTTCTTTGGGTAATATGGACATATTGACTATGATGATTTTTCCAATCTAAAAAAACACTCATAGACATTGACAACAATGTATGGTGGTTACCAGAGAGAAAGGGATGTGTGGAAAGGTAATAAAGGATAAAGGGGGTCAGATATATGGTGATGGAAGATTATTTGACTTTGGGTGGTGGGCACACAGTGAAATATACAGGTCATGTATTAAAGAAATGTATATTTGAAACCTATAAAATATTATTAACCAATGTCACCCCAATAACTCTAATAAAACTGTGTAGAAATAGCAATAAATGCCCTAACCGGTTTGGCTCAGTGGATAAGAGTATCGGCCTGCTGGTTTGATTCCGGTCAAGAACATGTACCTTGGTTGTGGGCACATCGCCAGTAGGGGGTGTGCAGGAGGCAACTGATTGATGTTTTCTAACTCTCTCTCCCTTTCCCTTTTTCTCTATTAAAAAAAAAAAATCAATAAAAAATAGATAAAAAAGAAATAGTAATAAAAGTGAATAATTGTTCATATTTTGAAGGCATATGAGTGAATTACTTTATGTCATATACATGCTTGTTATTTGCATGAACTAACATAGTAATTGAACATAGTAACTTCATGTGAACTACTAAGCAAATAATTTTAACATATTTGGAGAAGTCCTTAACATTCTTTTATATTTGAATGTACATTTGCTTGTTTTATTCTTCATATAAATAAAAAGGCTTTTAAATCTTTGGGAACTTTAATTTTTAACAATACTACTTCTTTTGAAATGAATTTTACATTTAACATTTTCTAGACTTTCAGAGTGATGAAAGTGTAACTTCTCTAAATAAATCCTCTTTTTTGGATAAAAACTTCAGAAAGCTCATGTAAAACATACACGGTGTCAAAACAAGCCAAAGGAAAATCGTTTGGGCAAAAAACGAAAAAGGATTGCAAGACAAATTTATAACTTTTGGTCGAGAATATGTTTGTATATTTTCAGAAACAACTCCAAGACCATGTGGATTCCTGCAACAGAAAGGAATTGACAGGACTACTCCAGCCATGAAGACAAAAGAAAAACAGTCCAGAGATGGAACATGCTGACGATGCCCTGCCATACTAAGCCGTTAGCAGCTGTGTATCACTGCAGGTTGCCCAGGACAAAAGCAGAGAGGATCGGACCTGCATTACCACCATTTGTCCACCATCCAGAACTGAAATATCATTGCTGATTTGTACAAATAAGGAACTGTTTGACATTAAAATCGGGACTCAAAAGAACTGTTGGCCCAGAAAGAAACTCACTACAGACTGATTCATTTGCCTCTCAGCATAACCATTATTGCCTGTCTCATTTTCGGTTCTTATAAAGTGTATTTCTAGTAGCACATGATCTCACTCATCTAGGGGACATGATGAACAACATAGACTGATTTATGCTTCCCTGTCTCTGGCTCTGTCAGACCTCAGAAAGAAGGTAGGGGAGGGTGGGGATAAGGAAGAGAGATCAACCAAAGGACTGCATGCATATGAGCCTAACCAGTGGTCATGGACAACAGGGGGCTGGAGGCATAGTGGGGAGAGGTTTGGGATGAGAAAGAGGGTGGGGGGGGGGGAATGAGGACAAATATGTGATACCTTAATCAATAAAGAAGAAAAAAAGTCACAGAAACAGACATAAGAGGTTTCTAGTATGTCTCAGTATGATAGTACAAACACAGTAGATCTAAAAGAATAACCACAAAGTGGAAGTGAGAACTTATTTCCTTTTTCGTTCCAGATAGGAGAGTAGAAGTAAAACCAAGAATAAGATGTTGATTCCAAGAATGATGGTCCATAAAGTAAGTAAACAAGGGAGAGACTTGTGACGTTAGATGATTATAGTATCGATACCAAAAACAAAGAATAGAGCACAATAATAGGTAGGAAAAGCTGAAATTAGAAAAAATAACTCAGACATGAGCAATTGAAAGGATAAGAAAAACATATACTGTGGTTCAAGATGGTGATGTAGGAAAATCCTAACTCAGTTTCTCCGACTGACACTGAATTTACACCTACATACAGAACAATTTTCTCTAAAAGAAGCCCCAAAACTCATTAAGCAATTCCTACACACAAGGTGAATGAGGAAAAACTTACAGTAATATGGCAAGGAGAGGCAGAGACCCAGTCTTGCCATAAGCACCGCCCAGGCATGGCAACCCACATTGGAAGGGTCCTAGTTTATCCCTGAGCAAATCAAGGTTTGAACCTCACAATATATTAGTCTTGCACTTGAGAAGTGGGCCCCTACACTATCTAGCTTTGAAAGCCAACAGGACTTGCATCCATGAGACCCCCCCAAGTCCATAGAGAACCAAGCAAAGGTTCTCAAGGGGCTCACGTGGGCTCATCATGGCTAATCCCTCAGGCACAGCACAGAGGCAGAGGACTACAAAAACACCCCATCTTTCTGTGTGAGAGGCCTATTTTAAAAGCTTCAGCCTGAGGGACAGGCATCTAATTTAACACACATACAGGGGGGTGACTAAACTATTCTCCACAATCAAGACCACAGAGGTTCTCCGTTTGCCTTACTCCAAGTCATCATTATATCCTGGAGAACAACTTGTGCATAAGTCTGGCTCCCCTGTGTTGTGGTTATTGACCGGAACTTCTCTTGTCCACCTGGCTCATATGTTTCTATGAGTTTTTTCCTTTATTCAGTTAATGGGTTGTATCACATTTATCAATAGGCATATGTTAAATTTTTCTTGCATCCCAGGGATAAATCCTGCTTACTCTTGGTGTATGACATTTGTAACGTGCTTTTGAATTTGGTAGTGTTTTGTTAAGAATTTTTGTATCTATGTTCATCAGGAGTTTATCTGTGAAGCCATTTTGTCTTGGGTTTTTATTTGGTGATAGATTTTTGATTACTGA